CACCTGAAGTTGTACGTAAAAAAGCCATAATGGACTGTGGATCCGATTTCTTCAACACAAAAAATTATAATGAGATCCTCAGTGAAGATGATGATATTGATTGTGTAGATAAATTTAAAACTCAAGTAAAATCATTGATAGAGGATAAAGCACACATATCTACTAAACATACTGTCCACAAGTTAGACTTGATAATATTGCAATCCCGCAATATGATTCTGTGAAGTAACTGGGGATAAATTTGGACCGTAGACTTGCCTGAAAAAACTATATAAAAGCCAATCAAACACAACGAGTAATAACTGTATGTATAAAATTATACTTAAACCAGTATAGACAGTTGCTTCAAAACTTTGCGGCACTGAAAGTACCTTCAATACAGAAATATTACAACAAAATATTGTCAACGCTCCATGGTGCGTATCAAATTACTCCATTTATCAGGACCTGAAAATACCTTTTGTAAGATAATAAATCCGTAAACTTAGAAATGCATATGTAAAAAGACTAACCAGGCATCTACCATAGCTGTGAGGTTAAAGAACTTCCAGGTTCTGAGCCTACCAAAAAGAGTTTGGAAATAAAAAGAAAATTAAAAGTAATACAATATGAAAGCTATGTAAGTGTGTTCTCTTAGTATGTATATTAAAATTATAATAAGGAAAATGGATTTCCAATTGATATCTCAAAAAGTGAGATAAGCTATCTTGCCTTACTTTTATCCTGAAGGGAATAGTTTTTATACTAGTAATTTTCTATATTTCAACTGGCAGAGCCAACAAAAAAAAAAGCTGGAGCAACTAATCTCATGTCATTAATGTTAAAAATTGTGATGAATATAGAATTATAATTAATTTATGAACTTTTAGTCACAATATTTTTATAATAATTTAAATATTTTAAATTTATTAATGGTTTAGCTACTATAAACCAAATATGTTATGAACCTTTTCATAGGTTCGCTTATAGCTGGATAGCTGTGTATCTCTATTTGGTACACCCTTCTAATTCTTCACCACTCAGAGGAAATTGATAAAGATTATATTTTGTCAATTATGTATTTTCGTTAGCGAACTCCAGTTTTTTTATATATTTATTTTATTTATAAATAAAATTTTACTTTTCATAAATTACAAGAAAATATTTAATCTTATATATTAGCAATTGTAGAATTCCACTTATAAAACAACAAAAATCAATTCGATGCTTAAGTTTCTTTTGTTTAAAATAAAATTTTAGTTTTTCACAGATAACAAGAAAATTACTAGAATTTATATATTAACAATTATTTAGTTTCGTGTACAGAATCCAGAACCAGAAGTTTTCCTCGTACCTTTAGTCGTCGAACCAAACAAAACAAGAGAGAGCTTCTTCCTGGTGCCCGCACTTTTTATACCGTCAACGATCAACGGTGCCAGCTGTAACTACCTTAAAGTTCAACGACCGTTCATCGAAGCTCGTTAACTGATCCCTCTGCAATGCACCAGCGAAAGTCCAGCTTTAGGGCGAATTCTATTTCTTACACATGTGGAAGCTGGAAGTTGTTCTTTCTTTAAGTTTCGCCCTAGTTCCACACCTTTTCCACAAAAGCTTACTTCGTTTGACAGCTCGTGTTGTTTTGTTTTGATTTTATTCTATTTTTACAATGTAATTGTTTTTTTTAAAGATAAATTGTGATTTAATCAAATAATTATAATTATAATAAATATATTAATTAATTTAAATAAAAAATAGTGTGTGGACTATAGTAAAATATGAGTATCACTTGTGGGCTGTTGCGATTTGGTATAGCGTGTGGTGATGCTGTATAGCGTGAGGCTATTGCTTTGTTGGAACCAATGGTTGAATTCGATCCTGTAAATTTTGTTCGTCAAGGTGCATCCATTGCATCGGCAATGATAGTAATACAGCATACCGATCAAACTTGTCCAAAAGTAACATACTTTATGCAATTATAAGCAGAAGTTATAAGCAACAAACATGAAGATGTACTGGCAAAATATGGTGCTATATCAGCTCAAGGTATTCTGGATACTGGAGCTTTGTTGTTGGGCTGCGGTGAGTTGGTTAAGTTAATGTTTTGATATTAATCAACAATTTTTATTACAGGAACCTTCGATTTAATAAATTCAAGTGAGTGTTACTTGTTGTGTGTTAGGTGGTCGTGTTGTGTTTTGTAGGCAGCTATACCCACGGCGTTGTAACGATCAAATTTTTAATTAATAAAATTTTGGTCGTTACAAATATATGGAGTCATACTGTAGATTCTGCGGTGATGAGATTAATGATCAATTACACATATGCTGTTAGAATGCCAAGCGCTAATGCACTAACGGAATAAACTCCTAGGAATGTATATCCTTATGGAAGATGCAATAAATATCTGTAAAGTAAGTTATATACTACTTTTTATTTACGCAACAGAACTTAGAGACTTACTCTAAGCCAAGAATAGGCACAATAGACCCGATGGTTGCAACATCACACCCCCTCTTTATTTATACATAAATAAATAGTCTAGCTAATTTCTCCTAAAACTGTACGAAGTAAAATGAGAGATGGCTTATCCAGAAATTTAACATTACCATACACTCAGTTTTATGAGTTCGTGACGGTAAATAAATAGTCGGATAATTGTTATTGGCTGAATGATTTTAATATTGTACATATATTTATTTAATTTAATTTTAATGTTTTTGTGTTGGCTATTAAAACAGTAATCATTGGTTGTTGTAATCAAAAATTGTATTTCCATCTATTAACAAATTCAATATTTTGACCATCTTCGGTGATCATTTTTAGGGATTATAATTATTTGAACATTGGTGTTTGACAATAATTCTTAAAAAGATAGTATTGGTGTATAATTATGTTTATTTTATAAAGTAATATAATTCTAATTAATGAATAAATCCTTTTGGAATCCAATTGTATTAATTCAGTTCTTTCTCTTCATTCATATTACATCGCCGCTTATACTTTTTGCGCTAAAACGTAGTATTTATATGTACATAAACATTTGTCTGGATAATCCATTAAATTAATTTTTTAAATAACTTTTTTTCTCAATTCAATATAAATATTAAAAAATGTACACATATAATACTATTTATCTACATTAAGTTTTAAATAACCGTTTATTTTAATTATTCTTTATTAGATCAGCCTAGCCTACGACATCTGTAAAAAATAATCTCTCCAGAAGCAACGAATATGTTTTCTCCAGCAACTTAAGCAGACAACTTAAACATGATGTGTTTCTGCAGTGATTAAGCATAATGTGCCACGGAAGGATCTGCAGTTTTTTTTACCTTTTGGAAGTAAAAAATCTATATCTTACTTGAGTTTTGGTCCCCGCAGAGCCCGCAATATTGTATCAGATACATCGCAAACGTGGTTCAAGTGTAAGTATATTTCTCAATATGAGAAAATATTTTTGAAAGTATTCATTTAAAATCTTATAATTGCAGTAAATTATTCTAAATCGTACATTAATTTATGTGAAAGATCGCATATCGAGCAATTATAAACATAAAAACTTAGTTCAGAAAAATTTGATGTTTCAAGTATCAAGACTAAGAAGACCTAGAAGACCTAGAAGAAAGCATCAAAGTACAATATATGGTGAGTAGTTCTTGTCAGATGGAATCAGTTGAGTGCAAATTTTAAAAACAGCAGAAAGAGCAAAGCAATAGTATAACCATCTATCAAACAAGTTTTCTAAACGAGAATTTTTAAATAATGGATTAATACTTTTGTACTATGTTACCAGTTACTATCTTACTATTGTTGCAATCTTACACTCTAATAATATAAACAAAAATTTGAAATACAAAATAATATTTGTTAAATCCATAAGCGATGACTTTGGAGGTAGATGCGAATTCACAAAGTAATACGTTTATGAGTATTTCTATTATAATAATAATATATCTTGTATAAATCAATCTATTTAGTCCCTCTCAAGATAAAGGAAAGTTTTAAAATTTTGGAACAGTTGATTGAGTCTTATCAAGTTAAAGAAATAGATGAGTGATTTTTTAAATTCATTAAATTCTTTTTTCATTAAAAATTCTATAAAATAATAAAAACATATCTTCAAATTTTATTATAATTCTTACAAACTGCAAGTACTTGATTTATAAATGATTATTTCATACATCACGGAATATTTGAAATATTCATAGCCTACGAGTACGAGTATATTAATATAAGTTAATATATCAATGTCTACAGGTCTTAAACTGTTTTTATAATTTATATGACTTACACAGTTGTAATATTATTTTCAGTATGATGTTGATGCTAATATTTAGTATTGATTCTCTTAAGAACAAAAACACTACGTCAATTAAATCTTTCAGGCGCACTATTTAGAAGAGAATTGTTTTCGAATGAATGAGTGTTTCATTTTAATACGGAAATACAATGATTTAAGTCCGCATGCATTAGAATAATAGAATAATTTTTAAATATATACTCGTATTTAAATAATTACATTTGTTTTTCTGTGTTTATATAAATTTGTGGTTTCAATAAAAATGTCATTAATATATATGGACAATTTAATAATGTATCCACATTCTTTATTAAACATATTTTTGTAATGATAATGTAATCGGAGGAATAATCACCATTGTCATTGCATACACTTGTGATACATTTATGTTTATCTAATATTTATATATTTATTAACCCATATTGTCTAATATAACATATTATGGGGTACTATTTAAATCCGTATTAGATCCGTATCATAATAATATTATAATTGTGGTGTAACTTACTTGAGTTTCTTTTAGATGTTCCATTTGATTATTCGAATTTATATATATTTATATAAAAATATTTTTAATCACAGTCTCAATCCTAATGTTTCCCCATTTCTGTAACTTGGAAAAGCTTGTAAAAAAATTAAGGATTATTTATTTTAAGTAAAGCCGGAACTAATCTTGCGACCAAATCGTTCGTATTTATTTTCACAATTATTTCGTTGGTCCTTCTGTAGAATTAAGGACCAAATAGAGTTACATCACAATTTTTTGCGTCCAATCTAATTGACAGCTCTAAAGAAATTAGCTTTGCTAATTATTAGTAGTGTAGAGATACGGTATTGATTGGTCTTTGGCTTGTTATTTTCAATAAACTCTCCAAGACAAATCTTATTATAAAACGCAATCGATGTATTACATATATTCTAAATATTCGGTTTTAAGACACATTCATGACAGTTTAAGAAGATTGTTCACTTTAGAATGGATTAGATTATAATTTTATATAAAACCTCTAAAACGTTTTTTAACTGTAATAGAGAAGAAACCAATCATGATATATCTTTTATTTTTATTTAAAATCAAATAATAACTTATTTTTCAAATTTCAGAGTAAAACAGGAAACGTTCCATGTGTAAGGACCGAAAATATTAGACAATATTCCTATGGCGCTAATGGAGTTCGACAACAAACTTACAGTTTACAAAGCCATTTTCAGTACAAGTTTACTGTTAGACGATCCATAAAATGACAAAGGTAAGCATATAGTCACTTTGGAAGTACTAAGTAGACTTGTAACTTCTCCATATATATTTCTTTTTATTACAGTCAATTCATCAAAGAATATAAAGAAGTTAAAATCAGTTCATATTTCACTTGCTATTTATGAAGACAATAAGGTTTGCTATATGGGATGGAGATTATAAACGTACATTCATTGTAAAAGAACCACTGGAAAAACGTGAACAATGGAAAGCAGTAAATAGAGAGATTTATGATCTTAAGACTATATCTTTTGTCAAAATTCGTTTAATTTTGTCCACACCGCGCAATTTTTTTGTGTTAATAAATTATACAAGAAAACAGATCGGAAAGACATTATGTAATTATAGATTATTATTAGTAGATTTCCTTGTATTTTATTTTTTTTCAAACTAATTTGTTATTTCACATACAAACAAAAGACTTTAGCAAGAGTATTTGCTGCTTTTGGCTTATTTCAGAGCGGCCGAAACCAACTATTGTAATATATTTATTAAAAATAAAATGGAATTATAAATTTAAATGGTATTGAATATAATAAATATATAATTAATTAAATAAAAAACTGTTATATTAATTCATAAATAATATTTTAATTTACATTAATTTTAAGTATATACCAAATTTCAAAGTTTATAAAATAAGTAAGCATGGGGCAACATCCATTGTTAAGGATCGACTTGCAGAGCTCTTGATCTTAGAATAACATTATATTGATAGCCCAGAATATTTGCGGGGCCGATGGGCTATCGGGTTACACCACATATTCTTCTTTGAGAGAGTAGACTTCTGTCATGAAAATAGATGACAAATGTGGTATTAGTTAGACAACCTTCCAAAATAAGGACCTGTATTAATATACTACCGCAAACTTAGTGATAGTATCCAGTTTAGAGCCGTCTATATATAGCAATGCTTAATTATTTAATTTATAGTACTCGAATTGTCACTCATTGACGATTTTTTTTTCAGAGTGATGTTCGAATATTGAACATGACGGATATTTGGTTTCAGCGTTAAGGTTACCCAATAATTCTTACAGTTAAATTACGATGGACTACATTCAACTGGGAGTTTATATCTGCCTTTGTTTTTAATGGCATTAGTAAAATACTTGTGAATGTTCGACTTATTGTTATTAATAATATTATATTGTAGATAGACCATTCAACTTTCGATTTTACGGATTGAATGGCAGGTTTAGCTAAAATCACCTTAGTGAGAGAGCAACGTAAAGTGTTGAGATTACGCCTTACGCGTAGCACGACCTGTGACGTCTTTCAGAACTCACTGCTTATAGAAGGGAATTAAATTATTCTACAAAATTATTATTTATATATGTATTTGATATGTTTGTTATTTTACGTTTTTTGATTTTTTTATTTGTATTTTATATTATATAGTTCTTTTTACATAAATATAATATAAATTTCGCCAATGTCAATAAATCAAAATTAAAAGACAGAAACAGTTTTTTATTTCATGCGTCTTTAAAAATTAAATAACTAACATAATTATTTTTTATTAATTTTTAAATACTTTTTTATTTTAAATTTTATTTTAAATATTCAATATTATTTCCAAAAATTGTTCGAAAAATTAAAAACTATTAATGACGATTGAATTTTATGATTTTGCATATATTTTTTCTGAACTTTCTGGACATTAATTAAACGACTTTAATAAATGTTTCATTGCATCTGATATTGACTGAGTTTAAAAAAAAAGGATATGTTTCAAACTAAAAAATTAATCACAAAATTCTGACTCTATTTCTGAAAATATTTGACTGACCATACGAATAGTTTCGAATATTGCCAAATATTTATCACCTGTGGACTATAACTTTGGACTATATATGACAGAAATTGAATCTATTTAAACTATGCTCCTGTGGTCTGTGGTTTATCACCTGTGGTCTTTAACTTTTGGACTATATATGACAGGAGTTGAATCTATTTAAGCTATGCTCATGTGGTCTGTGGTTTATCACCTGTGGTCTTTAACTTTTGGACTATATATGACAGGAGTTGAGTCTATTTAAACTATGCTCTTATGCAAATCATATGCAAGCTCCAGCTTTATTAAATATTTTTATTTATTAAATTTAGGTTAGACTTAGGGGCTTTCTGCTGGTTGTTAATTGAGAAGTATGTCAAAATCGTTTAAGCGTATTATTTGCACATTGGGATTTCCTAATGTTTAGTGAAATTATATAAACTCGTAAACATAAGCAGATTTGAGAAAATTAAATATTGTCACAATGTTTTCTTAACATAGCTGAAGTCGCTGAATTACAAGAAAAGAAAATAATCTTGCTAGGGTAAATCAAGGGCAATCGATTGGAATATACAATAACTTGCAAGATTAGAATTCTAAAGTGTACCCTACGGAATAAGTGTACCCTAAACCGCAGCTATATAATTTTATTATACAATTGTAGATTGTAATGCCACAAACTTGACGCCCCTAAAGATAAAGAGAGTGTATTTGTATTTTGCGTCGTGCTCATTCAAGTGGCCGTTCTACATAAAGTCTTCTTTGGTTCCATAGTTCGAATGTGCAGCAAAGCCTACGTACAAAAAAAACGATAATGCGGTTAGTTATGGGCTTGAGTTGATTGTGCATTACTTATCAGTAATATTTTTCTGATTATATTTCATATGTTTTGTTTTCGTTCCTTAAAAAATTAAAAATATACACATAAAATAATGGAATTCTTTTCCATGGAATAACTCAAAACAGTTTAGAAAAAATTAAAAAAACTTTATTTTTTTTAAATATTTAATTTTAATTATTAAATATTTTAATATTTAAGCTTTTCATCGAAATTTTTCTATTTTATCTGTTTTTCAGTCACAAATTTTTATGTAAAAACTTTTCTTTTTTCATCTTCAATAACACAGAATTGATATATATATGTATGTACATAAAATATTGCAGCACTTTTCAACGGCGGTAAAAAAATCCCGTAGTCCTGTCACGGTCACCATGTACTGAGTCTGTTATTTATTATTAGAATTAAATGTTAACACTTAATTTAGTTTTAATACTGTTTATTTAGTTTAAGTAATTAAACATATATACATATATACTTATGAAGGATACAGCGTACATTGGCATTTCGTGAGAATTTGCTATATTAGCGTCTTCACGCGCCAGCCTAAATACTACCGTCAAACGGACGGTAAGTCTCAGGTTGCATAAAGTCCAATAAAGTTATAATACTTATCAGCATGTTTATTTACGCATATAGTAGGTATATGCTTATGCACGCTACAACACATTCTTTTTTACAATACTTATACTATAAAAATATTGTGTATAAACTTTCCTTCTATTCAATGATATCCATTCAAGGATACACAGTGAACGAATATATTTAAAAAAAACATTAATGAAGTATTAATGTAGTATTATTAATGAAGTATTATGTTAGCTATCGTAATGCTTTGAATATGAATATATTCCCATAGCAAAAAATTATTCAGAAAAAATTTAACCTAATAAGAACGCCATAATAACAGAAAACATTCGACCGGAGTATCTAATAACACAAGGGGTGTTCACTCTGTCTTGCAAAGTTATTGCAAGGTGCACGAAATGCAAGAAGATTATGCTAAAATTGCAAAAGTGTAAGAATATCTATGTTGCAGAATTGCGACATCAAAACGGAACAGCTGTTTCTGCGGCGTACCACATCTACATGAGAAGCAAAATATGTCAAAACCTTTGTCTTTTTTCTATTTTGTTTCATTGCAAGGATATATCCATGGGATTAGAATCTGTATAGCAAGATTGCAAGCAATTGCAAGAAATGTGTGTGTGTTTTGTTTTTGTCCATTGCAATCTCGTACAATCTGTGGGCGATATGCAATGAATTTGCAGAACAAAATGAATACCCCTATGGAAAACATTGATAAATGGAATAATGAGCAATTAATTTTTGTGATATAGAAAATAGATGTTATATGAGATATATTTCAGTTATAAAACCCAATATACATATACACAAATATCCTCCATTTTGTGGATAAAATTGTTTATTTACATATGAGTTTATGTACAATAGAAGATAAAATATAAATTTGTGGTTTGAGTTATATGTTATCTGTTATTGATGTGATGGTGATTTGTTTTATTTAATAATAGGTAAGTGACTTGGTTGAATGTTCATAGTATTTATCAGCTGTTCTGTCAACTGAACCGCATTTTAATATTATCAGAAATAATTGTGAAATACAATTAATTAAAAAAACTGATGCATTAAAAAAAAAAATTAGCAATATTTATTAAATTTTCAGGGATAACTAACATTAATTGCCAAAATAAACTTTATATTAAATTAATCTCTATATAATTCTGTTAGCATAAAGAGTCAGGGTCTCGTCATTATCATATTTTCTCATTTAGAAAATTTATTTATAAAAACACGGAATGAGTAAAATCAAAAACTATTAAGCGGTTTTCTACAAAAAATCCCACTCATAAATCAAAAATGGATTTAATTTACTAAACTTATTCAGTAATTTACGTGTCTTAATATATATTTTAAGACAGATTTAATAAATGCTTTCAAGAGATTTTACGAACGAAAATTCCAAGTCATTTAAGAATATATCAGCTGACAAAGCTGAAATGCAAGTTTTCTAGTAAAATTGTCAGCTAAAAGTGCTATTAATTAGAATTCTCTAATAGAAGTCTTTAATAAATTTTAAGAGCTGCAAAACGGCTTTAAATATTCATGGAGTAGAGTATCTGTTATAGTAATTACTATAATCTCACTTTACTATAATTTGACTTTAATGTATTTTTGTCGATTTCAAAATATTTTAGTTGGAGCGAAATGATGCAGTTTTTCCCAAAAAAAAATATTTTTCTAATAAAATTATCATATTAAAATATTGCATATAAGTATATGTCTAGTGTATGTTCGAACTCATAAAATTATAGTTAAACTGGAATTTCTCTTTTTAGTTTTAGTTTAAAGAATCCGAATGCAATTTTTATTGCTGGCAATGCCAACCTCTTGATAGAAGAGGGAAAAACAGAATAGTTTCTTATTTGCATGTCACCACAAACTACAAACTTCAGTTTGGTTTTCTTAGTGGAAGTGGTCGGTTGAGTTGGTCGTGTTCGGGGGTCATTCAAGTGCTGGGCGTCTCGGCCGCCATTAAAAATTTTGAAAACTTTTTTGTGTTATAAATCACATTTTTTATTGTTAATTTAGTTAAATTAACTAAAAAAATTAAACACTGATTTCTCCTTAAAAATGTTACGTTAAATTGTGTGATCTACATATTCCTTATAATATATAAG